GCAGAATTGGTTGTACAATTTTCATGCTAATTTATACATTTTTAAATGGTTCTGCCCTGTTGTATCTCTCTGAAATGCTTCGACCGTTCGTTCCTTCATGAGCCCTGTGATTATCTGATCAGTAGCTTGTGGTTGTCCCAGAAACTAGTCTGAAGCTTCGATGGGAGAGGAGAGGGGCTCCCAAGTTCTGGAACAAGTTGCCTTCTAATATTAGACAGGCTTCTTCACTTCCTGTTGTTAATTTATTTTAAAAACACGTAAAGTTTCATTGATATTTAACCCAGTGTGAGTGTTTCAATTAGAGCCTGACCGGCATGGAATTTTGGCTATCACCGATACAGATATTGGGAGGGGGGCTAATGCTAATGCCGATAACTGATAAAATGGCTGAAATGTTTTTTAGCTTTGTTCACCCCCAAGAATCTAAGTAAACAGTGAGAGGAACTTTAAAGCTACGTAGCTAATGAGAAGTGGGTTGGAGGACTGAAGAGCATTTATTATTGTTGATTTTTTTAAAATTTACAGATCAGTTAAAATTAATTTGTCATGCTCTGTTCAGACAAATATGCTACACAGTATTGCGCCTTCGGCTGTGCCGAATGTGAAAGTGAAACTTAAGTGAATGGCCAGCGCCCTCTGCTGGATACATTGTACAATTATGGCTGGTTCCCAGCATTTTAGGAGCAAAAATTAGAAGTATTTATATCGGCGCATAACGGGACAATTATCACCGATACGATAGGTCCCCAAACATGTATATCGGCCTAAAATATCTGTCCTACCGATATATCGGTCGGGCTTTACTTTAGTGGTACAAGAATCACCGTTTATTTCTCTTGGTGATACTTTCTTAATCTAGTTTTAACTTGTTTTTAACCGTTGTGTTTCTTTTTTATATAACTATTGTTGCACAACACTTTGGTTTGCTGTTTTTAAATGTGCTTTATAAATAATTTGACTCGACTTTAAGCCACTGAAATTACCAGAACTGTGAAAATCTCAGAGGAGCTCTTCACACAGGGTGGGGCAGTTTGTTGAGTGTTTCAGCCAGAAACGTTCACATTCTAAAGGAATCCACAAAACCACCGGTACCATAACCGTATTTCCGTCCGCTGCTCCCTCTGTGTGACCCATTTCTGTGTCGTCTCTCATATATTTAACAGTACAATTACATAACAGAGCTGCAGTATTCAGGAATATCTTTAGTGAAGGTTTGACAAGAATCCACTGCTTACTAAAGTGTTGGTTTTAAGACACAAGAGCATTTTTATGCCTCTTTTCCCCACTTAGCTTTAGCTTGTCTCATGTTATATTTATATTTGGCTCAACAATTCAGTTGTGACTCTTAGAAAGTCAGAAACTGCAGAAAGGAAACAAAACAAAGTAGCGTCATTTTATGATTTAATACATCCTGCTCGTGTTTGTTCTAAACAGGTTTCTAAACCCTGTCTCAACCACGACATAAAATCGTGACTAAAACAACAAAGTTGGCCTTTGCAGGTTTCACTTTTGTAGAAGAGAAAGTAACGTTACTCCACCCACTTCCTGAGATATTCTGCACTTGATGGAACGCTTTCATTCCTCTCCTTCTCGCTCTCACACCCAGAAACAGAGCCAAAATAAATTCAAGAGTTTTTCCAGAGTCAACACTGCATCCACGTCTTTTAGTTAAGAAGAAACTAAACTAAACTAAGAGGATGAATGACAAAATAAACAAGCTTTTAAATGAAAAGGTGTATTAAAACAGAAGAACTTCACTGGATTTCACAAGACTTTACTTTTACTTCTACTACTGAAACACCACTCAACTCAAGCTGCAGAAGTACTTTAGGTGCAAAACAAGTCCAAATCATCATATCCTGTTTTTTTTTCTTGCCAGTGCAAAGTTTAACCAAACATCACGTGGAGTTATCTATCCAGAACACCGAAACCTTGCCAACTAACATTTAACATAAAGTTCAAACAGTTTGATGCTAGCTCTTTGATTCTTTCAGTCTCCCTCTGAGCACTGCACGTTCTGACCACAGGCTGTTTGTGATGGGATGTCCTCTCCTGTGATGATCAACAACCGTCATGAGTTTTCCATCGGTGAAACGTCTGATCCCTCTCAGAATATCCCAGAACTCCAATTCTTTCACAAGAGGGGGATGTAGCTCAGTGGTAGAGCGTGTGCTTCGCATGTACAAGGTCCTGGGTTCAATCCCCAGCATCTCCATGAATGTGGAAAACAATGTTATTTAAATTATTCAGACATTTAGTTTAAAATCCTTTTAAAGTGAAGCTTCAGTAGATGTCTAATGGCTTTTTTCCATGAGCTTGACACCCATCACTTCAGTTCTATAAAGCAAGTCCAGCACACTTTCTGCTGGTTTTATCATACTGTGGCTGTGGTTCAAAGCTACTGCTCCGACTCGCCAAGGACCCACTGGATGAGCCGAGGCAGCAACTTCCTCTAAACTAATTCTGAACTGCCATTCCCATCCGATTAGAGTGATGGGAGGGGGATATGACTCCAGAGAGCCGTTTCTGCAGGCACACCATGTTCCTTTGCTTTGACTTATATTCTGGATCGTTGCTTATCTCATAATTGCTTGCAGAACGTCTAAATCAAAACTAATTTCTTGGTAGAGGGAGGAGGTGGAAATGTGTGCAGAAAGACATGTTTCTTTTACAAATTCTGCTTCTTCCTTCATGATTCCAGACGTGTCCTGTGGCCACAAGACACACGTGAAATGACAATATGTCATTTTATTTTTTCATCTGCCAGTACAATACCAATAATATGTAAATACACAATGTAAATGTTCATATTTATCACTGTTGTCTCCTTGTTTTGCTCTCAACTAAACATAAATGAGTCTTTTTGACACCATGTCTGAACCACAATATCGACACATATCAGCTAAATCAGACTTAAAATCCTGCTTCGAGTTGTCTGGCATTTTTGCTCATTTTCAGCTGTGTCTTCAAAAAAATCAAGTTATACGTCAACTCGTTGAAATTACATCAATTGATTAGTGGGAATCTTGATACAGAGTAGATCTAAACACTTCCATCATATCTGTAAAAGCAACAGAGTACAGCTGGCATAGGATCTGAGCAGATGATGAAGTATGAACAAGCTTGTGTGATAATAACGCTCCAAATTCCAGATAAAAGGTTGTAGAGTCGATCAGTTTTAATCACTGTAATAAAACCGACAGAGTAAAGATCTGACAGAACACGCATGTTACAAAAACATTTAGTTTTTTTCCCGTACATGGTTGAAACTGCAACAAGCGTCTCTTATTATGGTCTAGAAACCCAATAAATACAGGCCCATTTTAATTTAGCCTGCTCCTGCAGGAACACTCTTTATGATAAGTGAAGAGTTTCACATAAATGCTCCATCATGGTCATTACATACACACACAACATGCACTGCAATTTCAACAAGCTTTGTTTTGATGCTTCAACTTTAACTATGGCAGCCAACATGCATTGGTCAAAACTGGTACAAAGGAACACCACTTTCCTTAGACGTTATGTAAAAACAGTGGAGAGGAGACGAGGACAGAACGTTTACAGGCAGTGTTATATAACTGACAAGTGTGTCAGACAAGAAAAGCTAACAGCATTAGTGTGCTAGTTCCATAAAACTAGCTGAGTTGTTTCCTCCACTGATAGCAGAACAGAAATTATATTTCCCATCGCAGTGAAATATTTCTTACACGTGATTTTTCTCCCTTCTGTTCAAGTTACCCTCCTCCATCTCACTCTGTCCTCACTCCAACTACCTCCATGTCCTCTCTAACTGCATCCATATACAGTAGTCCCTCGCTACTTCGCGGAATTCCCTCTATCGCGGTTTTTCAGAATAAGATTGGACATGACACACAATTGGCTGATTGATGGACGAGTCGCACGAAGCTTCCTCCGGCGCCTCTGTGCAGCCCTTACTGCAGGATAAACTTCCTCCTGCAGCTGAACAGCTGAGGTCAGCTGATCGGCATGCAGAGCGGAGAAGTGGGCGTGGCCAAGAGCGCTCGCAGACGGCTGAGAGCAGCGGAGGCCCAGAGAGGGACATCATGACATGCTGTGCTCTTTTAGAGCGTTTAGAAACATTGTTTAGAATATTGCAAGAGTGTGGGAAGGGTTTAAAACACCTTAATACATCTCTCTCTATATATATACTAAAATAAACTACTACTTACTACTTGTACTACTATTCCTACTTCGCGGTTTGTCACTTATCGCGAGTCTTCAGGGTACGGATCCCCAGCGATAAACGAAGGACAACTGTATCTCCTCTTTGGCCTTCCTCTTCATCTTTCTCCTGGCAGCTGCATTCCTAACATCCTTCTACCAGTATACCCACTGTCCCTCCTCTGGACATGTCCAAACCATCTCATCTCAGTGTGGCCTCTCTAACTTTATCTCCTAGTTGTTCAACCTGTGCTGTACCTCTGATGATCTCATTCCTAATCTTATCCATCCTTGTCTCTCCTAAGGAGAACCTCAACACCTTCATTTCTGCCACTTCCTGTTTTGTCTCCTGTCTTTTTGTAAGCGCCCCGTCTCTAAACAACACAATATAGCTGGTCTCACTACTGTCTAGCAAACTCTTCCTTTGACCTTTGCTGCCACTGTTTTGTCCCAAATCACTCCTGAAACTTTTCTCCATCCACTCCATCCTGCCTGGATTCCCTTCTTCACCTCTTTACCACACTCCCCATTTTCCTGGACAGTTGACCACAAGTCCTTGAAGTCCTGCACCTTTGTGACCTCTGCTCCTTGTAGCTTCACTTAATTATTGCATATGATTATAAAATTAATCCTGATAGAGGACTGTCAAATGTTCAAATTATAGCAAAGTACCCAGTACAACCATCAATCATTAAAGAGCGGGAAGATGATTAGGAAAGTGATACGTTACCCAGAATTTAGAACATTTGTACTTACAATATTTACAAATTTATGTGGCTCTGTATATGTTTTAATTCTGTGTAAATGCGGTAAACCTGTACCTTCGGTCTGTGCATCTTCAGAGGGGTGAGGGTCCTGGCCCCAGTCCCCTGCACCAAGGATCTGAACAACCAGGAGTCGCCTCAGTGACACCAGGTCAAAATCCTTGAGCCCGGTTTCCAGCTGATGGACAACGCCACGTCCCGGCTGACTCGTCACCACGGTAACCTGAGCAAGAATGACGCAAAACAGGCTCAAATTTACTAACATATAAATTAAACCCAAAAGGCAACACGATTTAAATGCAGAACATTTATAACAAGGAACGATTTAAACACATTAAAACAACAAGAGTGAAGCAGTTAATTTATTATCAATAAAATTGTGTTGTATGAAGTGTGCTGCGTCCACACAGTCGGTGTTTGTTACCAGAACAATAATATTTGGAACATTGAAGTCTTGTGGGGTCTTAGTGGGTTGGGTGATGGCTCCATCAGATTGGTATCTGGGGAGTTTTGGAGGAAAGGCGAGTCTTTACGCCATCTTTCCACTTCTGTCCTGGTGCACAGAGCAGCTTGTATCTCACTTAGCCTGTCTCTGGTTTTATTGTTTCATGATAGTCTGAATGTTTATGACGTATCCTGATGCTTGCTCAATAATCAAGGTAGAAAAATCTAAAAAAAAGTTAAGTCTGGTCCTCTGGACATTCAAACAACAAACTGGTCTGTGTGGGTGGGACCAGTATTTGCAGTTTGACTCCCATCACCCTTTGGAGCACAAGTTAGGAGTCATCAGGACTCTGTATCACAGAGCAGACAGCGTCCCCACTAACTCAGGAGGCAGGCAGAAGGAAAAATCCCACACAAGACAGGCTCTAGAGCAATGTGGATATCCTAACTGGGCCTTCCTGAAAGCAGAGAAGAAACCCAAACAGGACTCCAGTCAGCCAACAGGTGAAAAGGAGGAACCCAGACCCAGACCAGTGGTCATTCCGTATGTTGAGGGAGTATCAGAGAAACTGAGACGTTTATTTTCTAAACATAACGTCCCAGTGGCTTTTAAACCCCAAAATACATTACGGCAAAGACTGGTTCATCCCAAAGATCCAGTCCCCCGTCACAAACAGAGTAATGTTGTGTATGCTGTTCAGTGTCAGGAGGGCTGTGATCAGTCTTACATCGGGGAAACTAAACAGCCACTGGCCAAAAGGATGGCCCAGCACAGAAGATCAACATCATCAGGCCAGGATTCTGCGGTCTACACTCATCTCCAGGCCAGCGGTCACGCTTTCAGGGATGAAGATGTTCACATCCTGGACAGAGAGGAACGATGGTTTGAGAGAGGAGTAAAGGAGGCCATCTTTGTGAAAAGAAATCGTCCATCATTAAACA